GTTTTTTCGACATACTATACTATGAAGTTTTTATCAGTTTTTCGACATACGATACTATGATGTATTTATCAGTTTTTTTCAACATGCTATACTTTGACTTTTTTCAAAATGCTATACGATGACGTTTTTATCAGTTTTTTCGACATGCTACACTATGTTTTTATCAGTTTTTTCAACATGCTGTACTATGACTTTTTTCGACATACTATACTATGACGTTTTTATCATTTTTTTTCGACATGGTATACTATGACTTTTTTCCGACATATATTGTGTTTTAATTAGTTTGTTCGACATGCTATACTATGAGGTTTTTATCAGTTTTTTTCGACATGGTATACTATGACTTTTTCATCGTTTTTTTTGACATGCTATACTATGACGTTTTTATCAGTTTTTTGACATGCTATACTGTGACATTTTTATCAGTTTTTTCGACATGCTATACTATGACGTTTTCATCAGTTTTTTCAACATGCTGTACTATGACTTTTTTCGACATACTATACTATGACGTTTTTATCATTTTTTTTCGACATGGTATACTATGACTTTTTTCCGACATATATTGTGTTTTAATTAGTTTGTTCGACATGCTATACTATGAGGTTTTTATCAGTTTTTTTCGACATGGTATACTATGACTTTTTCATCGTTTTTTTTGACATGCTATACTATGACGTTTTTATCAGTTTTTTGACATGCTATACTGTGACATTTTTATCAGTTTTTTCGACATGCTATACTATGACGTTTTCATCAGTTTTTTCAACATGCTGTACTATGACTTTTTTCGACATACTATACTATGACGTTTTTATCATTTTTTTTCGACATGGTATACTATGACTTTTTTCCGACATATATTGTGTTTTAATTAGTTTGTTCGACATGCTATACTATGAGGTTTTTATCAGTTTTTTTCGACATGGTATACTATGACTTTTTCATCGTTTTTTTTGACATGCTATACTATGACGTTTTTATCAGTTTTTTGACATGCTATACTGTGACATTTTTATCAGTTTTTTCGACATGCTATACTATGACGTTTTTATCAGTTTTTTCGACATACTATACTGTGACCTTTTTATCCGTTTTTTCGACATGCTATACTATGACATTTTTATCATTTTTTTTCGACATGCTATACTATGACATTTTCATCAGTTTTTTCGACATGCTATACTATGACGTTTTTATCAGTTTTTTCGACATACTATACTATGACGTTTTCATCAGTTTTTTCGACATACTATACTATGACGTTTTTATCAGTTTTTTCGACATACTATACTGTGACGTTTTTATCCGTTTTTTCGACATGCTATACTATGACATTTTTATCAGTTTCTTCGACATGCTATACTATGACGTTTTTATCAGTTTTTTCAACATACTATACTATGACGTTTTTATCAGTTTTTTTTTCGACATGGTATACTATGACTTTTTTTCGACATACTATACAACATGGTGTACTATGATTTTTTTCAACAATTTTTTTTGACATGGCATTCAACATGCTCTATTGACTTTTTTCGACTTGCTATACTATGACGTTTTTGTCAGTTTTTGTTCGACATGCTATACTATGACTTTTTTCGAAATACTATACTATGATTTTTATCAGTTTTTTCAACATACTATGACGTTTGTGTTTTTTCGACATGCTATACTATGAAGTTTTTATCCGTTTTTTCAACATGCTACATTGACTTTTTTCGATATACCATACTATGACGTTTTTATCAGTTTTTTTGACATGCTACACTATGATGTTTTTATCAGTTTTTTCGACATGCTATACTATGACTTTTTTCGACATACTACACTATGTTTTTATCAGTCTTTTTTCCACAGGCTGTACTATGACTTTTTTATCAGTTTTTGGCTGGTGACTCGGATGAACTTATCCTCAGAAGCAGAGGTGACTCTTGGTCTTCCTTTCCTGGGTCGGTCCTCATGTGCGCCAGTTTCGTTGTAGCGCTTGATGGTTTTTGCGACTCCACTTGAGGACACATTTAAAGTTTTTGCAATTTTCCGGACTGACTGACCTTCATTTCTTAAAGTAATGATGGCCACTCGTTTTTCTTTAGTTAGCTGATTGGTTCTTGCCATAATATGAATTTTAACAGTTGTCCAATAGGGCTGTCGGCTGTGTATTAACCTGACTTCTGCACAACACAACTGATGGTCCCAACCCCATTGATAAAGCAAGAAATTCCACTAATTAACCCTGATAAGGCACACCTGTGAAGTGGAAACCATTTCAGGTGACTACCTCTTGAAGCTCATGGAGAGAATGCCAAGAGTGTGCAAAGCAGTAATCAGAGCAAAGGGTGGCTATTTTGAAGAAACTAGAATATAAAACATGTTTTCAGTTATTTCACCTTTTTTTGTTAAGTACATAACTCCACATGTGTTCATTCATAGTTTTGATGCCTTCAGTGAGAATCTACAATGTAAATAGTCATGAAAATAAAGAAAACGCATTGAATGAGAAGGTGTGTCCAAACTTTTGGCCTGTACTGTATGTCAAAAAAACGTCATAGTATAGCATGTCGAAAAAAACACAAAAACGTCATAGTATAGTATGTCAAAAAAACTGATAAAAAGGTCATAGTATAGCATGTTGAAAAAACACAAAAACGTCATAGTGTAGCATGTCGAAAAAAAAAACTGATAAAAATTTCACCCTATAGCAAGTCTAGAAACTGAGGGAGGACCACCGCTCAACCTGGCCAAGTCTTGGTTAAGGTGCTGGAAAAACAACTAAAAAGTCCACGATGAAAAAAGGGGATTTCCGCACACTTAAATTTGCACTAAAATTCACATCAACACAACATCATGTGAATTTTAGTGCAAATTTAAGTGTGCGGAAATCCCCTTTTTTCACCCTATAGCAAGTCGAAAAAAGTCAATATAGTATTATATATTATATATATATTTTTATCAGTTTTTTTTCAACATGCTATACTATGACTTTTTTCGACATACTACATTATGACGTTTTTATCAGTTTTTTTTTACATGCTATACTATGACGTTTTTATTAGTTTTCTTCGACATGCTATACAAAGACATTTTCTAACATACTATAGTATGAGTTTTATAACATACTAAACTGATTTGTTTTTATCATAAAATACTATGATTTTTTTTAACACACTGTACTATGACTTTTTTTAAACATACTATACTATGACTTTTTTTCATCATACTCTATGATGACCCTTTTTAAATTATAAAACACAATATATCATAGTATAGCATTTTTTTTATCAATACTATGACTATTTTTATCATACTATACTATGATTTGTCTTATCATACTATACTATGACATTTTTTAACATACTATACATGACGATTTTTGAGAACAATAATTACAATAGTTGCAAAATTATTTTCTTTTGATCATTTAACATTAATGCTCCAACACAAAGTATTAAGCCATGTGGAACAAGCTTATTGTGAGGGCTTATACTGATTCGATAATTAGGGTGCAAAAGTGTTCTTCAACTCCTGAGCAATTTGCACAGCACATACCTCAGATTCCTAAAAGCCACTAATAATATTCTCATCCTGGTATCAGTGTCATGTTGTGTTGGGCAGCTCCTGAGAGTTTGAGCCAGCTGTTTGAGACTTGTATTTAGTTTTGGGAGTGCCCAAGGCAGATAAGATAAAAGATAGAGATGAAAATGAAGTAAAGATATGTGAGACGTGTTTAAAACCATCAATGCAGTGATTTATTTTGTAAAATGTAGCATTTTGAACTTAACAAGGACTAACAAGAGATTTCATATATTCAGACAAAACCTGAAAAGAGAAAGCAGAAAAAAGGGTGGAGCGGGCTGTACGTATGAAAACTAATATTACAGTACTACAGGAACAACAAAAGTGATCTGGATCTCAAGTTATCTTTCAAATATCAATAAGAAAATTCACATTTGAAGTGGTTAAAAGTTACCAAACCTTATTTTATTTGAGTATTTCATCTCTTTAGTCTCTATTACATAAAAGGAACTAATTTGATTGGACAGGATTCATATTTTTAAAAAAAGTAATAAAAGCTACACCAGGACTTGTGACAGCACAATATGCCCTCAAAGAGCCACTCATACTATCAACATACCAGTCACACAGAAAACCAACACTTAAGTTATCACACCAGTTTACAGCTGAAGAGTTACAATGGCTCCCCACTGTGGCTTGACCCACATGCTGTTTACAGTGCTGATGATATGTGGGAGTCCCTGAGCTTGACAAAAAGTAACAGAACAATAACATTTCTGCTCCTTCTGAAAATGCATTACTCAGAAGTCTCCCGTAGTGCTGACAACTTATTAGAAAGTCAACAGGCTCCATTATGAGGACAAAAACAAACATTCATATGGCTGGTTCTTTCAAAACTTATCTGTTATACTGTGAAAACACATACAGGATCGGTCTGGTGATATTCTGTGTCTCTTATTGCCAACAAATCACATGGAAAGACTAAAATCAATGATAATATAACAAGTATAACAAGTATTACCTGATATATCTTATTTTTCAATGTCATAGAGCTCCATTGTTTTCTAAATAAAACTATTAAAAATAAACCAATGAGGAAAATTCTCACACTGTGTAAAATGTTCCTTCATTAAACACAGCTACTGAAGTCTATTTTGAGTCTGTCCCATAAACATCGTCCTGCTGCTGTAAAAACAGACTGTGACGATCAGTGTTTAACATGAAAACTACTGCATGTGACATTTAAAAGGACAGTTCACCTCAAAATAAATTAAATATATACATTTTTTCCCTCTTAACTGTGGTGCTATTTATCAGTCTAGATTGTTTTGGTGTGAGTTGCAGAGTGTTGGAGAAATCAGCTGTAGAGATGTCTGCCTTCTCTCAAATATAATGGAACTAGATGACACTTGGCTTGTGGTGCTCAAAGTGCCAAAAAAATTTTATTTGAAAAATCCATTATGACCCCATTACTCACAATAATCCACAGACCTTGTTGTGAGCAGTTTCATGAAGGAAGAATTTTCTGTCTACCAAACTACACACGCCAACTGCATCAGAAGGAAGTGTACATCTACCTAGCAAAACTGAGCTAGCTAATGTTACAGCTCAGCCGAGGACACCATTAATGTTTCAATCTTGTGCTGTCACCAGTGCAAGCCTCTCGTCCATGAGTAGATGCACGCCTTTCGACAGGAAAAGACTCAGGAGGAAACAGTAACTACATGAAACGGCTAAGTTCTGTGGATTATCTTGAGTAACTGGGTCATGATTTCTGTAAAGAGACATTGCTGTTGAATGTTTTGTTTTTGTTTTGTACTTTGAGAACCACAAGCTGGGTGCAATCTAGTTCCATTATGTTAGAGTGAAAGCAGACACGTCTATGGCCGATATCCCCAAACAATCTAGATTCTAGATTGATAAGTAGCACTACAGACAAGACAAAAAATATATATTGCTGATCTTGGGGTGAACTCTTCCTTTAAGGACACAGCTATAGTATGAGTCTGAGCCTGTCTGCTGCATTGTTACAGAGTTAACGCTCGTAAGTCTGGCTGTCAGCCAGTGAATTTGTTCAGATTCTGAGGTCCTTCAGGGCAAAAAGAAACGTTTGGATCCTGCAGACTGTCAACAGCTTGCAATGTAAACACTTATGGTCACAAACATTTACAGAACAAAATGTATAATTGCATGCTGTCAAAAACGTACAGGATCCCATTTCTGTTTGTCTTTGGAGTGTCTTTGTGATGCACGTGTTCTGTAACATGTAAGACTTTATGGTTTTAAAAAAAAAGAAAGAAGCAGGATTTGATTTAGTGTCTCCTTATAAAGCTTAAGTCAGAGGCATTTGAAAGATTTCCCCAGAAAAAAGGAAAATGTTCGGTGCTATATGTCACATGACAGACTTAAAACGTAATCAGCGCACACCAGAGTGTTTCGTGGTTACAACCTTTTCTTTTTTGCTATTGGCTGCAAACTTAAACACAGAGCAGTTTCAAAAATATCCAGAGGGTTTTTTGACCTGTGAAAAATACTGCCACGCAGAGATGGAAAACCTGTCTGTGCCCTTTCAGTCCCAGATGGGGTTCATGATCTAAACCTGCATCCCAACACAAACTCAGTCGAACCACTTAGCATTTTGCATGTGATCAAACACTAAACGAGTTTTTCTGGCACCTCGGGCTGATCATCTGATTAAAAAAATCCTCGTGTAACAGAGTCTCACTTGACTATTCCTGCCTCAGAGTCATCTTGCATGATCACCTGATGAGCTTGCCTCCACTGATTTCCTCCTCTGAATGAGGCGGTCGACCACCACGACGAACACTGCAGATGAGATGAGGCAGAGGCCTGAGAGGTAGAAGGCGGCACTGTAGTCGTTTGTCTGGTCCACCAGCCAGCCTGTACAAGAGATACAGAAGAACAAGGAACACATGATCACAGTGTGCCAGAGCTGATGAATAAATGATGACACGTATCTATTTCCTCAGGAGAGTGCAGACCTGCAGTGACAAGTCTGCGCCATTTCAGTGAGGAAAACATTATGAAGTGCTGCACTGGGTCAAGACACTGTGTGGGTGATTGTAAACAATCAGTCTGTCTCTACACTAAAATCACATGATGTTGTGAGTCTATGAGCCCTAAGGTTCATAACAGGTGATCTTACAGCACCCATCACTGCCACTTTAACCGAAAGGTTGGCTGGCAAACAGTTGGCTGTGAGGCGGGGACAGCATAAGTGTTTGTTCTTTTATAAAGCTTTGACACAGATGCTTCCACCCTATATTTATCCCTTTTAACTCTGACCTCACATGATCTTGGCACTCATTCACAGAACAGATTGTTATTTCACACTCCCTTAATCAGACATGAACCAGGAAGAATGACATTCTCTTACAGAGCTCCTTATACATGGAATAATCTGCAAAAGACCTTAAACTCGGACACTCTGTCACCTTTATGGCTGTTTAAATGCCTTATTTCACATCTTGTTTTAATTGAGTGTAAATGCTTTTAACTATACATCTACACCTTAACACACCTTAGCAAGTAACCTGAACCTGTTTATCACGCAGCGTTTCTACTTTCGTGATCATTTATGCTATTGTTGTTTTGTATAATTACTTTTGTTTTATTTAATATGCATGATGGTTCATGTTTGCTTATTGGTTGTTTTTAATGTCTTTGTTCATGCTCAGCATCACTGAAAATGAGGGTCTCAATCAGTTGATTTCCTTAGTCTTAAATAAAGGTTTGAATGAATGAATGAATGAAGTTTGAGTCTGTTTAAGTAAACTAATTATTCCAGTACATGTTATTCCTTTTCCTTGTGCTGCAAGTCATTTTCTAAGGATAGGAGTCACTTTGATAAATGGTAACTTGTCTCTTTTTGGAATTAAATAAGCTTTGATCATACATCAACGAAAAGAGATTCTGTTATTCACAAAAACAGAAAGTAATGATTATATGACATCAATGACATAAACCACACTTTTAGCACTTTCTGGTGAACTGCTGAAATGGCTGTAATATTGCATTGACTCAAATATCAAAAAACACCCTGCACAAAAGAGACTAAGGGCAGGAGAGCAGAAGTTTTGATGATGACTGAGCGCCACTTAAACATCTTTTGTATCTCAATTCCACCCAAATTGCTAACTATCTATTAACGTAATTCCTGTGATACTTCCCATGCAGCCAGTGGCTTTTTCAGTTTGACAGACGCCATGTGCCTGCAGCCGCACTTTGAGAAACTATGTTGTACAGCCAAACCAGCAGCTCTGTGAGGCTGTGCTGAGGTGCAGCAGTGCTTTAAGCTTAACGGTAATGGCAGCATGCCAAAATGCTCTCAATGACAATACTGACATGCTGATGGCAGGTAGAATGTTCACTATTTCATCTTAGTTTAGTGTGTCAGTGTCACTACTTTTGCAGGAATTTGGTGACAAATTAAAGTGTTGGACAAAGTAAAATTTTGATGCAGGATAAAATATTAAAAGATCTCCTGAGTAATTAAAATTCATCCTGTGCGAGATATGAATGTGTTATCAAATTCAAAGACGGCCCATCCAATATTCCAGTCTAGGCCGACAGACCGGTACTGCCCATCATAGTGTCACACTGCTAGCACGACTGAAACATGCAGGTGACAAACTAATATGTGTCAGTCAGGTCACAGTCAGTGAAGATTAATGTCCGTTTTTCTGAATTCACCTGGAACTGAAAGACCCACTAAGTATGCACACTGGCCAGTCAGTCTCGTACAACAATGTTGACAATGTTCAGGGAAAGTTCAGTTGGTTCAGTTTCTTTATGTCAGCAAATCCTGCTGGTGGGAATCTTTCCTCTCTAAACCTGAGTGTGTTGCATCTGAGCACAGAGTAAAATGTGTCTGAGTATTGAAAAGTGTGCAAGAAAGTATTTAAATTTGACACTATATATTAAGTCTTTCTTTGATCAGAATATTTGCTTATCTAAATCAGAAACTTTATTACATTACACAGACATTATAAACATTAAATTAGACCGTGTTTGGTAACATATTTAACTAATTTCCTAAGTATTTTCTCTGAGGTTTCACAGAAAGACAGATGTAACTTGGTCTTAATAAGAGGGAAAATAGTCTTAGTTAGTGTGCAAAAGTGCATGCAAAATCACATTTTGTCTTTAGAAAAGCATCAATTCATTGTAATAATGAGTGAATATTTCCTTGGGTATAAATGGTACAGTTCTTCTTTTCCCTATAACAACTCTGCATTCATGCTGCGTCAGAATAATTGGAAATGGTTTCTGTCTTGGAAGATTTATGTAATAACGCACTCTCATTGTCAGAACAACAACTGGGTAAGTTGATGAAAATGTTGGTACACGAGTTGCCGAGCTGATGTCATAAATGTAGAAACATGGAGGATGAAAGTAAATATTCAGTTGATGGTAATAAACTTTATTAATTTACGTATTGCATGTCTATTGTTTGTTCACATATCAAGCAAATAAATGCATACCCCAGGATTTTTAAAATTATAATTTTTAGTGTAGTTTTACTTTTTCCGCCCTTTGTTGTGTCTATTTTTTGAGCTGATTTTCCTCTTGGCATCAGTAGAAATGGTCGGATGAAGCTTCAGAATTTTCTTTCTATTCGTACCGAAAAATATTTGAAGCAAAAGCAGCAAACGCAGTAACATCGGGTAGCATGTAAAACTTAGAGCAGCCCTTCAAGACAGGCTGAAGCACCCACGCCTATCGGATTTTAAGAGCTTCAGTCTCATGCGTGTGCAATAAAAGTCCAATAACCCTGTATCTTATTATTAAATCTATAATAATTTTGTTCAGAAGCACTGCATTAAATGTAGATGGTGTAGGAGCCAAAACGTGTATTTATCCTTCATTGTTTAATATTTGTTTAGGCTGCAAACATTCCTTACCTTAATTTGGTGTCCTTATGATTGGTAGGACTGTTTGGCTTTCTGTTAGACTGCCTTTTGAGTATCCTGTTTGATTCGCCAACCCTCTTCGCTCGCTATCAAACGCTCTCCCTCAATTGACATTTTTAAGACAAATCTTAAAACGCACGTTTTCAATGGCCTTGGGTTGTTGGAAGAGATTTTAATATTTTAGTATTTTATAATCTTTTTTTACGTATGTAACTGTTCGTACCACTGTTATTCTGTTTTATCTTTGTGTACATGTTTTATTGCTACATATTTGTGTGTCATTCTTCAAATTTGTACAGCACTTTGGTCAACTGCAGTTGTTTTTAAATGTGCTATATGAATAAACTTAATTTGATTTGATTTAATTAGATCTGACGGAGACCTAGAGTCGTAGAGTTAGACTGCCTATGCTTAAAGAATACATATGGAGATTGTTTCACCTGAAGTCTGAGTGCCTTGGTTGTTTTTTCCATAGTTGTCTGCATTAATTTGAGACTTCTGGGATCTTCAACTTTGACCTACCTCACCAAAGAGCACCTGTTGGACCGGACATCACAGCCAAGTAGTGCTTCCTTCCTTCTATGTAACCTATCCTGTTTCTACTTTTGCCCTGTCTGTCAAACACCTTTGTAAACTCTGTTTTTACCTGACAATCTAAACACGGACTGCTCACCTGCAGCAGGTGGACCGATGAAGCCACCGATGCTCCTGAAAAGCATAAAGAGCCCCAGTCCACTGTCGAATCCCTCCAGGGTTACAATGTCCACGATGGAGGTGACGTGAATGGCCACCACACAGCCGAACAGGAATCCGTAGAGCGAGGCAAAGACCAAGATGACCCAGAAGTTGTGGCTGACAGGCAGCAGCAGAAGAACCACCCCCAGCAGAGTTGCCACCATGGTGAGCAGCTGCAGGTTCCTCAGCAGCCTCATGTTGGCTATCCACCCACAGAGCAGCCTCCCCACCAGGTCCGCAGATGCCAGGACGGAGAGGATCAAGGCTGGCCAGTACTGATCCATCCCCAAACTGTTGGCAAAAGGCACTAGGAAGAGAGGTGGGATGAAAAACCCTGCTGCCGCAAAGATGGCAAACAGGATGTAGAAGAGTAGTTCAGGTTTTCTCATCAGGGAGAATTGGAAGATAACCTTCCTCTTTGGTGGGAGCACAGCGGCGTCGCCTTCTAGATTGTCGTTGGTTTCCTGTATCGGGCTCTGGACTGTTGGCAGCGGTCTCATAAGAGCGCCGCAGACACACAAGTTGAGCTGAAGGCCTCCGATGATGAGCAGAGAACCCTGCCAGCCGTATCTCTCAATCAGCCACTGGAAGAAGGGGCTGAACAAGACAGCGAAGACACACTCCCCTGAGCTGGCGATGGCGTAGGCGATGGGGCGCCACCGTACAAAGTAGTGGCTAACCATGCTGTTGGCAGGGATCCACGCGAAGCAAATGCCCGTCCCTGGAAACACAAGATGGAAACCTTTAACCATCTAATTTCTTTTAGGAAGAATGGAGGACAGAGGGATGTAGTGTGCTGTAAAGCCCTCTGAGGCAAATTGCGATTTGTGATATTGGGCTTTATAAATAAAATTGATTGACTGATTGAATGGGGTCCTCTAATGATGTATTAAAGGGACAGTTCACCTCAAAATCAAAAATACATATTTTCCCCCTCACCTCTGGTGCTATCTATCAATCTAGATTGTTTTGCTTTGAGTTGCAGAGTGTTGGAGATATCGGCCATAGAGATGTCTGCTGTCTCTGTGATACAATAGAACTAGATGGCACTCAGCTTGTGGTGCTAAAAGCACCAAAAATGAATTTGAGAAACTCAAAAGCAATGTCCCCTCAGAAATCATGACCCAGTTACTCAAGATAATCCACAGACCTTGTTGTGAGCAGTTTGATGTAGGAACTATTTTCTTTCTACTGAACTACACCCACCAACCATATTACTGTGCAGAAGGAAGCGTGCATCTACTGCTAGCTCACCTAGCACTGCTGATCTAGCTAACACTACAGCACAGCCAAGGATGCCATTAATGTTTATCCCTTGTGCTGTTACAAGCACAAGCCTCTCATCCTTGAAGAGATGCATGCTTCCTTCTTAACAATGAAAGAAAATGATTCCTACTAGTGTCGTCAAAAATACTGTTTTATTGATGCATATTGATTCTGAATATTTGAAATGGTTTCAATGCTCATTTCCCTGCTGTTGCCAGTGAAAGGTGGGTGTGCCCTTTTGTTCCTGTGAAAGTAGTAGCAGATACTACTTTCCCACTCCTGAATTCCCTCCAACAGCGAGTTGACAAACACAGCCTTGTTATATTTATCTTTTAATATATATATATTTTTTTTATTCTAAGCCCTCAACATCAATTTATTTTCTGTGGTATTATGAATTCTCTTGAACACTCTTGACGAAGGTCCAGGAAGACCCAAACATTAGTGTTATTAATAAATTGTGAAGCTGAGCAAGAGCAGTTTGCAGGTTTTTTTGTTCAAAGATTTTCTTTGGTATCAAAAATGGTATTGAACATGAATATTTTTTAAGGTATTATATCAAAGTTAGAAATTCCAGCATTGTGACAGTTCCTACATGAAACTGCTTACAACAAGGTCTGTGGATTATGTTGAGAAACTGGGTCATGATTCCTGGAAAGAGACATTGCTGTTGAACCTTTCAAATATAATTTTTTTGCTGTTTGAGCACCACAAACAGAGTGTCATCTAGTTCCATTATTTTCAAGAGACATCATACATCTCTACAGCAGATATCTCCAACGCTCAGCAACTCACACCAAAACAATCTAGACTGATACACAGCACTACAGGTAAGAGGAAAGGTATGTTATTTTGATTTTGGTGTGAACTTTCCCTTCAACCAAACAAAGTGGTCACCTTTAAACCACCCAGCTACAAAAATATTTTGTGCCATATGGGTATAAAAATGCCACTAAAAGAATCTGATTTCTGTGGAAGAATTATTAGGTGAAAACAGGTGACATATGTATCAGAGCTGCAACTAACTCTTATTTTCATTACAGATTATCAGGTTGATTATTTTCCCAGTGAAATACTTAACTGATTTGTTTATGACTTGTCAGACTAAAAGTAAAAAATGCTGATTACAATTTCCCAGAGGCCAAGGTGTCATCAAAATGCTTTCTGTAATCGTCCAAACCCTGAACATTTTCAGTATATTATCATTTAGTTCAAATCCTCACACAGCACTTGACCAGCGTTATGTACTATGTGCCCCATGATTTGTACAGTAGGCGAGTTGCGAGAATACAAAAGCATGAACAGGCTTTTCTAAGTCAGGAAAAGACACAGCTGATTAGATTTTGATAATATTTCTTAGGTGGAAATAGTGGGATTTAATGAGATTATTGACATGTGGTTCAAAGTTCAATTGAGAATCAAAAGTGATGCCTAAATTTCTCGCTGTAGATTTTATATTAGTTGCCAGAGGACCAATAAAAGGGTTGAAATTCCCTTGCTAGGTGATCAGGGCCAAAGATGATCACTTCTGTCTTGATAATAAAGTGATATCAAATCAAAATCAAATGTCAGACAATCTAAAATTATAAAAAAAAGAAAGAAAAAAAAGCCTAAAAGTCAGAGAATGAATGCCATGACTAAATGGCCCAACAAGTGTCTCAGAACACCAAAATAAGTAAAAAGAAAAAATTCGGTAATGATTCCTGAGGTCCACAGTGTGTCCTGAGTGTGCTACCTTGCAGGATGCCCATGGTGAGGTAGAGGCACGGCAAACCGAGGTCCAAAGACGCCATCAACATCCCCATGGCAGACAGCAGACCTCCGACTATGATGACCACTCTCTGAGAAAACTGTAAGGTCAGCGCACTGGCCAGTGGAGCTGAGGAGGAAATGAAAACACCACTATCAAAAAATTCTGGAGTACAAAAAAATAAAAAATAGAAATCCAACCGTGTCTTTACCTCCGAGATGAAACATGGCGATGGTAGTGGAGGTGACCCATGACGTGGTGCTGGTCAGGACTCCAAAGTGACTCTGGATGTCCAGAAAGAAGAGGCCGAAGTTCTTGAGGACGGCACCAGTGAGGCCCATGATGAAAAAGGCCGACATGACCACCACCCAGCCATAACCCCCATCAGGGGGTCTCCTGGACTTCATCTCTGCTGCTGCTGCTCTGCAGGCCGCTCTCCTGCCTGTGCTGAATGATTGTCATGCAACAGTGATGGAGCTCAAAGGCTCAGTGGTAGGTGGAGCTTATGAAAATGAGCATGCAAAACACACATAGATTGCTAATACAGATCAAACCTCTGATCAGCTAAACATCATCTTCCTGTTTTCAGTTTAAAAAAAATAAAGTTCTGTTGGCTTTAATATATAGTCCTTTAAAAGTGCACCAAAAAGTGGACCAATAGAAAAGGGACTCAGTTCATTTCAAAGAGGACTCAGTTCTCTTTCTGGTCAACTTCAGCTCTGATGGGGCCTCAGTCCTCTCTCTGTTCACACTATATCGATGTAGTTTTGTTTTTCCTTTGACGTGGCACTGCAGAGCGGTTATGAAGCCCATCACTTTCAGATGAACTTAAAATTGGAGGAAAACCTCAGTGTTTCTGTGCTGTAGACTGTTGCTATTTGACGTATTCTACATTCCACATCTGAAGACATGCGGTATCTTTCATGCACCCAGTTATTCCACGACTGGCATCCTTGTAAGTGTCAGGCTGACGTGGTTTTGTCTGTCTTTTCAGGTGTTCCAGTGCAATAACATGCGAACTACAGGGCTAAATACAATGGCAAATAGCAAAGTGATCCTTTGTGTTCACAGTGCACAGATTGAGTGAACCACAGAGGGGGTCTGAGCTGTCTTCAAGTGTTCACATATGTGCAAAAAATGTCCCTGCTTTGAGTCTGTTTAGAAGGCTGAAAAGGATCCTAAAAGACATTTAGGGTATTTTTACACTTGGTCCTTTTAGCTTCAAGTCCACAGTGTGGTTCACTTAACCTGTGCACTGTGAACACAAGGCGCTTCAGGTTCACTCTGCTCTTTGCAATTGTATTTAGCCCTCTAGATCACATGCTGTTGCCCTGGGACGCTTGAAAAAACAGGCGAAACTCTGTTGGACTGTAATGCTTCCAAGGACGCAGGACGGGGAGTAGTTTGGTCCACAGAAGGTACCGCACGTCTCCAGATGTCGAATGTTGAATACATCAAACGGCAACAGTCTAAGGCACAGAAACACTAAGGTTATCCTCCAATTTTAAGTTCATCTGAAAGCGAGAGGCTTCATAACTGCACTGCAGTGCCACGTCAAAGGAAAAACAAAACTATGTAGACTCTAGCGTGAACAGAAAGAGGACTGAGGGCCCAATCAGAGCTGAGGTTGACCATAAGAGAAAGTCTTTTTCCAAATGGACTGACAATGTGAACACAAAAAGAACTGAGTCCCTTTTCTGTTGGTTTACTTTTTGGTGCACTTTAAGAGGACTGAGTTTGGTTTGTTTTAAAAGGACTCTATGTGAAAACACCATTAAAGGAATACTTCAGCCCCTAAACGACCATTTGTAAATCAATTACTCAACTCATGTTACGTTGACTTTATGAGGCAATTTTTTTCTTCCATGCCTCCATGGTGAACAAAGAATCAAAAAAACTGAGAACATTTCCTGACGAATTGATGTCATAGGTGTTTTAAACAGCAAAATTAAATTAAATCACATGTTTACAAACTCTCACATGACTTGTACAGTATAATCCAAGTCTCATTTATCCATTTGTTTGCTCAGTTTTTCCCCCAACAAACAGCCCTTTCTGCTGGGGAACTGAGCTTAAACTTAAACTTATCTATGCCATCTTCAAAGCCAAACTTCAGTGACAAAAACCTTATCTTTCACACAGGAGCTGCTGGTCTGTCATTGCCTCCATCAGTAAGTTTAAATACTAACTAACCCTTTAAAAACACCAAAGTTTTTAAGTGTTGTGTGAGTCTGTAAACAGATGTTTCGATGCGGCCATCTATGCCTTTCATCAAGACTTCCCTCTGTTTTTGGATTCTTTGTTGACCATGGAGGGGGGGCTGAGAGCAAAAAGTCTTCCTCACAGATTCAATGAAACAGGGAGTGGTTAATTGATTAACAAATGGTCCTTTGTGGGCTGAAGTATTCCTTTGATGTCTTAAGCATTTTGTAAGACTAAAAATACCACTGACAGGAAAAAGTACTCTGATTTTTGACTAAAAAGAACTAATAGTTTAAGTAAAAGTAAAAGTCCTGCATTTAAAATCCTACATCCTACTTATTATCACCTAAATAACTCAAGGTATTAAAACTAGAAGAGCTGGGTCTGCAGTAACATGTCTTCTGTGACTGATGTTATGACATCATTAGATTGTTAACAGTTATTTAAATGAAACCATCAAGGAAGTCAAGGTGCATCATTATTTGCTGATAACTTAACACACATTTGAAAATGTTTTTTGAGGAGGGGTCTCAAGCCAAAATGTTGGGAACTTCTTAATTCTTCACAATAGTGACCACAGAAAAAGTTTACAGTGATAAGGCTCTAAAAATGTAGCGGAATGATGCATCAATGCATTTCCAGCACTTATTGAAATAACAAAGGGTCTCAGTGAAGTATGTGCAGTGTCACATATTTAGTGTTAATTGTCACGAGACCAGAGCTGTTTACTTCTTGGTCGCACCATGAGACGAGGATAGCTGCATCAAAGCTTGTTCTTATTCAGAAGTCGACAAATCCCGCCGCTTTGTCAATGATTTTGGCGTCAAACACATGATGCCTAAAACCACCTTACGCCTCAGAGGAAGACTGATGTTGGTTGTCACATGGGTTGGTTGAGGGCGCTGTGACACTATGTTGATATCAAACAGTTGGCCTGACATCCTGCTCAAAGCCTGTAGGTTATTAGTAATTTAAAAATCAAGCACTTATTAAAAAGTTGAAGGTAATAGCTTTGATTTGAGTCAACCTTTAGCTTAAATTGTTTCGTCAAGAGGTCAGTTGGGGTCGGCTATTACGTGTGACAATTCAGAAAGACAATTGGTATGGCAGACATGTTATAAGTCCACATGTTCTCAAGTGTTTCTGATAAACACACACACAATGTTAGTTTAGTTCTTCATCTAAACAGTAACATACTTCAACCTCGGCTGTTTGACATTTTAACAGAAGTTCCTAGTCATACTGTGATGAAGATTAATCTGTTCCGGTCTCACTGTTTCATTTAATGTTCTATTCATTATGAATTGTGAGGCTAGATTTTTTTAAGCACCGTGAATTCCTTCATTTTACTCTTTAATTACAGAGGATATTTCAAACAGTCAGCTTGTTCAAATTCATGGTTCAAACACAAGGGGCACCGACGAGGACTATCATGGAGGTGGTATTCTTTTCAAAACTTATTTGGTGTTTCTATCTTAAAAAACTAAAAAGTTATCCATTTTTTTAAATCTCTTTTTTTCTGAAACCCCATTGATATCAGTAGGATACCAACCCCATCACAGGGTCAGTTGTCTTACTTCTTGTTACAATAAGATGTAAAAATGAAAGAGGTGCCCATTTCAAGCCAAGAATTTAAGCTTTCATTTAATGTGGGAATCACTGCTGAAATTTTTTTGTGATGATGAGCAGTTCACACAAGAGTAAAAAGTGTGACAACCAACCCTGGTCTCCCCTATGTAAAGCAAATATCAGGGCAGTAAGAAACGCTGCTGTTACTGAGGTAATGTAAGAGGCAGGAAAGTCCATATAGGGTTGGTGGACGGGTTAACAAGCCCTGGACTTTCATCCAAGAGCCCAGTGTTTGTTCCCCGAATGCCAAAACAAGATGTTTTCTAAAGCTAACCATGTGCTTTTGTTGACATCCCAGTATTGGCAGCATGTCCTGGAGTGTAAACAGCAGACGCACAAGGATTCCTAACATGTCAGGAACGTAAAAGGCCACTGACAAAGTGGTGATATATGTATGTATAAGGCTTTTTGATATGTAAAGTAGTCACTCTGGGCTGTGATGGAGCATTTGAGTGGAGAGTGCCAGTGACAGAGTTTTAATAACTGAGCTGGGATATAAGAATGTTAAAGAAAGCATAGGAGATTATGTTAGTTTGGTCAACAAATGGTAGATACAGCACATTATCCCACCGGTCACAACTGTAACAGACCATAAAACTCACTTTAACATACTGATTGATTATTTCAAGGGGTTATCAATGACAGACGGATTGGATAGTTTTATGTACGGGAAAAAAGTTGGGATTAGATGGGGTAAGTACCAAAAAATGGAGGTACTCGAGTAAAGCATCTAGGAATAAAAGACTACAAACACAGTAGACTACAAAGTACAGCCTCAAAACTTAGGATACCAAACATTTAAGAAGTAGGAGATGAGGTAGGAGACTTAAGGCTGCATTACTGAGGTTCCTCTGTACAATCAAACGGTTTGATCAAATTAAAAACATACTTCACCAACAGATCTGTATAACAAAGACACTAACTCACCTAATAATAAACAACAAAGATAATTTAAATGTCAAGCTTACGTTTCTCCCCGCTACGATGCTTCTCTTGGCGTCCTCCGCATATGTGCTGCTACAATCATGTTTTCCTTCACGGTGAGGTCAAAAACGTCTGGTGCTGAAATGACAGCGCGCTCCTATTCAGAAGTTTAAGGCACCTGCATTAAAAACATCTGACATTGTAGATGTTGCGATTATAAAAGGCTCCATGTATCAGTCTGCTTTATCATTCCGTCTCCTCCGCATGTCCGTCCAGCAGGAGTCCAGCCAGCACACACAGCTGAGCGATATTACACAGTTGACGAAAGAGACGAGCACCGGAAAGGCGTTGCTGCTTCTGGTGAAGCTGCGGTAATGCGCAGCGTGCACACGATCCGGATTTCAAAGTAGAGTATCCACATGGATGTCATTTCTAAATAAATCTTCCCACAAGGGAGAATGAAACTATCTGTAAAAATGAAAAGGAAATGTTCCTTTGTGAAGAGATCGGGTTGTCCTTTTTTACTTTTTATTTTCTGGTCTTATACCTGGATTGTTTTTGGCTGCTTTGAGCTGTGGATGCCCATTTCCACCAAGTTGATCAAATAAATAAATAAATACATAAAAGGAAAGGAAAGATAAAAAAACATAATTAAAATCTTATGACTTACTATAAATAAAAAAATAATTTAACGTTTTGATTCATTATCTCAGTTTTGATTTAAAAACATATCTTACACCTGATTTTTTTCTCGTAGTAAAAACAGAATATTATCCAATATTTATTTCCATATAACTTAGAAAGAAACCTTTGATTTTGTTATTTTCTTGGACGGAAATATGCTTCCTATAAAACCAAAAAAGTATAAAAGTACAACACACTGCATTTAAATTTGTTGGAGTAGAAGTATAAAGTAACATTAATTTATTTAATGTTACTTTATACTTCTACTCCAGCAAATTTAAATGCAGTAACATTAAATAAATTAAAAATACCCACACTTTGTACTTAGTCCTCAAATACATGTAGGGCTGGGACTAACAACTGATTCAGATTAATCCGTCAATTATTTCTTCCATTAATCGAGTCAGTTTTTGGTCTATAAAATATCAGACAATAGTGAAAAATGTCAGTGAGTGTTTCCTAAAGCCTGAGATGACGTCCTCAAATGTCTTGTTTTGTCCACAACCTAAAGATCTTCAGTTTACTGTCACAGATGAGTAAAGAAACCAGAAAATATTCACATTTAAGAAGCTGGAATCAGAGGATTTTGACTTCTTTTTTCTTCAAGAATTACTCAAACTGATGAATCAATAATCAAATTAGATGCCGATTAATTTAATAGTTGTCAACTAATCGATTAGTAATTGCAGCTCTAAATAAATGTGCCAGTATTTCGTTTATCTCCACCACTGGTGCTAGTTACAAACTTATTTTTCAAGTATTCATTGTTCTCTTTTCTTTCTTTCTTTGTATTATTTATAAACTTGACCACTCTAGTGTCTGTAAACCAAAGTGCCTCTCAGTGACATTTAAGTCCAGCTGTAAAAGGCAGCTCCGCTCAGCTCATGGTCTCTGTTACTGCAGTTATGTAACATGCTCTGGGTTAGTGCACACTGCAAGGATTAATAATGTATGTGGACTGCAGCTTAAATATGTAATGGATACTTTTACAATTCCCTGAAGTCTTTCTGTTGCAGCATTTCAAACACTCAACTCAACTAAGTGGACAACATTCTTAAAATGAGTAAAGACACTTGACACACTGACAGAAATTTGAGCAGGGTGAATGTAAACCAACGAGTGTTGCCTTCGGAGCTGTCCAGTTGAATGTGGAAGAAGAATTTGCTTAACAGATACAGATTGAATTAAACTGTTCTTTAATATGCACACCACCTCTCACAATGAAAACATAAAACAATAACAGATTTTTAAATCACCTTTTGTATGTACTTCATTTATACTGACATCTTGCTTGCAGTTCAAATATAGTATTTACGATATTTTCATTTTAAAAAATTATAAAATTTTTCTGGACATATGTACACAAATATACTGTAGGTATATACACACATACATAGAAAACACTCAGCTCTTATTAGACCATTTCTCTTCAGTTGAGGGGTACAAGGGGGTGGCAAGAGCTAGCCCTGCTAGCTGTCTGTATGAACACACACGCTCTCTCTCTCACACACGCGCACACACACTTAGACACACAGAGCTTGTTTGACACAAGCATCTCTAGCTTTAGGCCTGGCAATACTCTACTCACAGTCTCCACAAACTTTCGAACTCCTCTTTTAAAACTTTATCCAAGACGTCTGACCGAACCAACATCACCTTCAACAGTTCTTTGCATCCAAGCCTCTGCTTCCATTCTGCTCCACTATTAAAATCAGGGTTGGGGTGCCTTGCTAAAGGCACCTTGGCAGTAGTTTCTGAGCTGGTCCTATTTTCGAACCACCGCTCTTCCAGTCACAATCTGCCTCGCCACATGCTGGCACTCAGCAGGAGCAGGACCTCGTTTTGGCCTTTGTCCCTTTGCCACAAATAGGGCAACACTGTTAAGAGTGACTTGGCTGAACAGGAGCAGGGCACTTTGGGTGATTTCTCTGTCTAAAACTCCTTACTGTCCCTGAACAGGTCGATGCGCAGGGCAAGTTCCTTGAAAGATGGACGCAAACCGGGGTCGTTGTCCCAGCATTCCTCCATGATCTCATGTATCTGAGAGGAAGAGCAGGAAGGAATGAGTTATTGACATGAGCAAACAAAATCATTACAGGCCAGTCTCTCCTGATGGCAAAGGTAACAGTGTTTTTTTTTTTAATGTGGAAAAATGGGAAAGGCATGACGTGCAACAAAGCCCCCTTGGCTGGTTGTCAAACCACTGTTGTTGCAGTTAATTGATGTCTTAACCATTTGTCTACTGGGCCAATCCAACAACAGGTAATAGTTTAAATGGTTTGAATTTCTTGCAAAACCGGTGCCAAATAGGTTGAGCTGCAGTGCGTATTTTTCATCAAAACTTGCGCATGTTTAAAAATAAATAAGACCTCAGGTTGTGTCAATCACACTTCTACACAGACTACTTTTCGGCATTTGTCAAAAGCCTTTAGAGAGCTGTTTGACCAAGAAGCAGTGAGGAAAATGTGGCATAACCTGGACCCTAACTAATTTGCTCCTGTTCCTGTGGAGGCTTTGAGATTTGGGTTAAAACAACAAACCAAACAACTGAATACAACATAACAGATAAAACAGACTAACACATGTGTATGTTCATGTTTTAGAAATGACAAGGTGTGTGTTTGCATGAGTCCCAGTATAAATCTAAACTGTATGTAAGTGTATATGTGTTTGACGAGTGGGTCCAGTCAGACAGGAAACAGCAGTGCATGTTCTTACCTCTGTGGGACACCCGAGAGGTTGAGGCAGCCTGCTGCCTGATTTGAGGAGCTCAATGAGGTGATAGACAATCAGCTGTCCCTGCTTGTCATTCCCCATCATGGACATAAAAACCTGAGGAGAGCGGTGACAGCCAAGACAAAAACTGATTTAAAATCTATTTGATTTACAGAAAAGAGGAAGATCCTTGCAGATAATCAAAATTACTCCAAATGTAAAAAAGGTAACTGTAACTTCATACACACATGACGTAAAACGTGGAGCAACATAAACTCCGGTTATTAGAGTCAACATGGCAAACTATTAGAGTCAACATGGCATTATTTATTGATGACAGTCAGTTAACTGATGTCTGTTGGTGAGTCTGTGCCTGATGGGAATTACCGGCTCTGACTGTTAATGACGTCTGAAGGCCTTAAATCAGGGTTCCTACACATTTGGAATTTCAAAATTCCATACTTTTTCATACCCTAATTTCCAGACTTCTCTGCGTTTTTTGTTTTGTTTTTTATCCCAGAGAATATGCGACATCTGAGTAAATATATCAGTGTATCATATTTCACATCATATTTAATCATTCTTAATAGGTGATTGTAGCCAAGTACCATAATGGCATACAAATAAAAACTCAGGTAAGTTCAATGTCTGGGCTGAGGCAAAAAGGTTGGGACTCTGGGTGCAAGCGATGCAGTAACGAGAGGTCGGTGTTTTTTCCTTTCCTGTGGCTCAGATTCGCCTTCTCCCCCATGTTGGCGATGTCAAACGATTTCACACAAAGCTTGCATCTAGCTCTGTGTGTGAATTGGGAATCCTTGGCCAACCAGTATTTATATATGGTATTGTCAAGCCATCCATCCAAAAACTTGCATCTACCCATTGTGAACCACGTGAAACTCAGTGTTGGGAGTGAAACTTGATACCTGGGGGGCTGGAGGAGGGTCAAGGGGCAGCAGACTGGACATACCACTTGTCAAACAGGTAAAAGGGGCGGTATGTTTCCTGAGATATTTGCTCTCACACAAACTGTGCTTGGCCCAGCATAAAACATGATCCGGATTGATTAAATTATTTTTGGAAATACCTAATTTTCTGTTTTAGAAAACAGTATTTTAGAACAGTGGTAATAGTCTGGAAACATAAATATTTTTCCATACTTTATTTTTCATTTTCCACACTTTTTAATACCTGGAAATTGATCAAATTTATTTCCATACTTTCCATACTTGTGTAGGAACCCTGTTAAAGGTGACACAAGAAGAAATACTATAAAAGATTTCAATTAGTTCCTTCTCAAATCACCACCACTTTTAAATGAAAATTGTTGAATCAGTTAATCCTTGTTATAAACTGTTTTTAAATGTCCCCTTACACTGAATTGCCTTGTCTGTTTTATGTTCATTATGTGTATCTTCATGTGAAGCATTCAGTGCTCATACTGCCCTAACTGTCATATTAATAGACATGATATATCCATATTGAGCCTGATTTTACAGTAGTTCTTATTTTGGAAGCTGGGCATAAGATTTCCTCACAGGCAGCTGCCATCAGCATCTGTAGCATCCTAAAGGAGTCTGAAAAATGACGTGTGACCACTGCTGGTTCTGTGGTGTTGGCGTTGGTGTGTCAGAGCCAATTAATGGATGTCGAATGAGGTGCATCAGTCGTCACTTTCAGTGCATTAAAGGCCAATTCATAGTTTCCAGGTCTGTGAGAGTCTGACAGGGTCCTCTCTTTAGTCAGCGTGATGTAAGTATCATCATCAATCCATGTCTGCATGGACCCCATGTGAATGCCTGTGTGCAACCTATTTTTGTGACCGTGTGGACTGTATATGTAGCGAGCAGCTGTGCTTGCTCCAATATCTTTTTCTACACTCCAGTCTAGTCCAAAACACTGCGGTCAAGCCAGCCGGCTCCAGAC